TTAAACGTTTACTTCTGTGTGTAACTTGCAGCCGTTATTCCCCACAAATACAATGGACCCCATTTACCCGTCGAGTACCGGGTATAAATAAGGGTGATTGCGTTTGAAAAATGGCAACCGCAACTAATGATGATCCCGAGAGTTGGTTCAAGAGTGTTTCCAAAAAAAGGCGAACTTTATTTCAGTGTGTGGCCTGGGCATGTACATAAATTATCGAATCATTTATGAGCTGGATCTTTAAATTACAGATAGTCATTTCTGGGGTCAGAAAGGAAAAAGAGGGGAGAAAATTAAATAAATAAACTACGCTGACCATTAAATATTTATGGCATATATTGAGATAAACAAAAGCGAATTGGTTTGTCATTCAACCGACATCGGAGCTGGTCCCAATGGGTCAGCCCACCACCGAAACTGAAAAGTACCCTTTGGAAAAATGTATTTCACTATTTGCCAGGTCAGGTGGCCATCGTCCTGGTATTTGTGTATAACTTTTGGAATATTTACAAACTTTTTTATCAGCTGGCTATCCGCGTATTTCAGCCATCGCTTTGCATTCATTTTAATAGACTTTGGAGGCACGGCCTTGGCTCCAAATGGCTCCGACACTCTAATGCAATAGTCAAACAAATTTGCATAAAAATTTCAGTCGAATGTGCGCTTTAATCGAACCAGTCGAATGTGCGCTTTAATCGAACCAATTAAAACATTCGCTCCACGGATCGCTGCTCCTGCACAAAAACCGACGTAGCGCAATAGCAAAAATGATGGAAAATGCTACGCACAAAGTTCAATTTCGCCAGATTCCCCCACATTACTGCACTTCCACAACAAAAATATTTGTGTGCATTGTTAAGGACCTGGGTGGGCTGAAACAATAAATATCGTACGATGGCAGGCGCAAGCCAGAATACAGAACCCCGCACTCACCTGCACCGAATGATCCAAATTATTGATGATGCGTATCACACGACCGGCACTGCGCTTTATCGAACCTGATGTGGTCGATAATGTGCCCAAATCTGCTTCCATTATTGAGGGCTTCCGACTGGTGGGCTTGGAGCCCCAGCCCTGATTTCCAGGCGATGCATACCACATCCCGTTCTTCTTGCCGTAGCTGGCAGGCTATCCGAATAAAAGAAAATAAGAGAGATGAAGAGAGAAAGAGGAAAAGTATAGTCAGTGAGAAGAGAAACAAATAAATAGTAAAAGTACGTGCGAATTTGCTGAATTTTTCGCAGTCCACTTCTCATCTCAAATCGCCATTTCCAGATACACCATCCCCATCCCAAACTCGTTTTCCAAACAATATGTACATATGTATGTACATATTTTGTGCTGCAATTGTGCGCCATAGCAGCTTTAGCTAAAAATTCCTCGCAAATCTGGAATTAATTAAATTGTTTTGTAGCACGCAAAGCTACAGCTCTGGCTTGACCATGGAAGTGGACCTGGGCACGCATTCACTCACGTCACCCCAAAATGCCAAAATCAACCAAATCTCACCACGCAAACACTCACGCACTGACAGCCCTTCGAGTGAGGTGGGTTGAGTTTACTGTTCCTGAACTTTTCCTACCTCCCTTTTCCGCTCTTAACAGATGAGATAGAATATTTAGATAGAAGAATACTTCAGAATGGTTTTATTGGCATTAGATTTATGATTGTCTGTTAATTGTTACTTTGGTTTAGTATTTCTCCTGAGTAATTCCTTTCGGAACGATTTTGTTTCGAGAGTAATATGTACCTCCTTGACATTCCTTCCTTTCGATGTCACGCTGTTCTTTTATCTCATTCATTGTTTAATGTAACGGATGTAATGTTACAGCACAAAGCTCCGAATGTCCCTCCGGCCCCCATCGTATTGTTGCCGTAAGCTTTCAATTTTCCTAATCATCAGTAATAACCACCAGCCACCAACACTTTCGTTCGTATTTGAGAAGTATTGGACAAGTATGTACATATGTGGAAATATGTATGTGGAATACTCGATCATTTCTTGGGGAACAGTATACTTTAAATTTAGTTGTAGCCAATCAATTTGACTTTTTTCTCACATTTTTCACGTATTTTTCTTCTCCACCTCTACAGGCGACGCTGTCCAATGATAAAGTCACGAACAGAGTTGGGACTATAGTTCAAAGTATATGACGTGCTCGTCGTTTTATATCCTTTCACTTCATTCAAAATTTGTAGGTATTTGTAATTTTGCTTTCGGGTTCGATGGAATCTCAATATCATTTTCCTTCTGAAACTCCTGCTGTAGTCTCGTCGCAAATGATTCTTTACCAACGGTAAGGAAAAGAATACGGATAAGTGGGAGTACGAGTCAGGGGCAAAGGCGAAATTAAAAAAAACGGCAATAATTCAAATATCCTGCCTCTATATGTTGTTTTTATATGTTATATGTTGTTTTTGTATTTGTGGGGAATAACGAATCTTTGTAACTCACAAAATGAAACGATACCGACCCCATAAAGTACATATTCTTGATCAGCATCAATAGCCGAGTCGATAGACTCTTGAATGTCTGTGTGTCCGTCCGTCTGTCCGTCCTTATGAGCCCCTATTACTCCGAGACCATAAGAGATAGGGCAACCAAGTTTTGCATCCAGACTTCTATATATTCACACTGTAACAAGTGTACATCAAACCCTTCCGCCCCCATTAAGCGTAAAAGAAAACGAAAAACACAATTCCGTAAGGAAGGACTATATCTATCAGGTCACCGAATTGAGATCAGATTGGATCATTATTATAGCCAAGATAAAGCATATAATTTGCAGTGGATAAGCCCACCTCCTCCAGCTACTTTTTTAAATTTTGCACACTCTCTCATTTCACACTCTGCTTCGTGAAGTGTGCGGCTCTTGGGGAGGGGGCACGCTAAAAGAGCGTGTTGGCGTCAGAAGTTATGTAGATGTAGATGACAGATGAAGAAAAAATGTAAAATTTGATAAAAACCGCTAAGATACAGATGTAGTACTGAGTTTTGAATGTGTGTATGTTTGTACATACATATATCTCTGCTTGTACATATTTGGTTTGTGCGAATCGTGAACGGCTGATGTGTCAATGAATGTTTTTGTTGCAGTGACTCGGACATGGATGATACTGTGAGTGGGAGGGAGTAACAGATGGCACACACGGGCTGGGACAAAAAAGATTTCTTAAACAACGAGGATAAAATCATTTTAAAATCATAAGGAATGTTTGTGAGACGATTAGTACGCGTCACAACATTCTACCCGGTACTCAGTCAGCATAGATACATATATGTAAATACTTATATGTACATATGTATATACATACAATCATAAGTATGTATCTTATATGTAACCTTAGTGTGATACATACATATGTACATACATTTATATTTAACCTCACGGACAGACAGACTTATGCAGCTACATCGACTTGGCTAT